AGGTGGGAATAACATAGCTTTCTTTGAAACTAAATTTCCTATATTTTGTTTTGTATGTTTCTGAGCAACATTCCTCAAAGTCTAAATCTGTTTAACAGTAGAATGGATTATTGCAGCTTAGGTCCCATAGGAGATCTTAAAAATGGAGATTTCCTTTCTGGCTTTGTATTACTCTTTTAATCTTTACAACAAATACCACAACTGCTTTAGTTTAAGCCTTTGACATCCATTTACAAAACTTAATCCGCGTATATTCTTCTTTATCTAACTCACAATCTGACTAAATCTGTGCTGTTTTCTCTTAATATCATATCATGTTTTCAACAACACCATTAAACATTTTGTCACCAACAAAGTTCTACAGTTGGGGGATGTTAATGAATTCTATTTTTAGCAGTCTGAGATTATTTTTTTAATGCAGATTCACAAGCTGTTTCTGCAGTATGACTGTATTTGTATTACATACAGTAAGCGCTGTACAGTATGCTTGTCTCTTGTTTATAAATAAGTTAAGACTGACTTATGTTAATAAATAAGATATTAGATTTTATGTTTTGTTGTGTTAGAAATACGTTATTTTACTTCTACACATCCTGCAAATGATGAAGCTATTGTCACTTTTTTGGCCTCAATAGTTTCTCTGGGCAGCACAATCATAACAAAACCCCTATGAGAATCTGGTAGGACTTGAAACTGATATAAAAGCTTGTGATCCAATCTTAGCTTAAGCTATCTGGCAATGAAGATGGACCAACATTTCATTGAAGTGAGGTAACACTACACAGATACATGCTTATAGCATTAACAGCCTGGGCTCCTTTAAGAGGTCAAGCGACCCATACCATGTTTTCAACAACACCATTAAAATGTAACCACCAACAAAGTTCTACAGTTGGGGGATATTAATTAATTCTATTTTTAGCAGTCTGAGATGTTTGTTTTTTTAATGCAGATTCACAAGATGTGTTTCTGCAGTATGACTGTATTTGTATTACATACAGTAAGCGCTGTACAGTATGCTCATCTCTTGTATATAAGTAAGTTTAGACTATCTTATGTTATTAAATAGGATATTTTATTTTGTGTTTTGTTGCGTTAGAAATACTTAATGTTAGTTCTACACAGTCTGCAAATCTGGTAGGACTTGAAACTGATATAAAAGCTTGTGATCCAATCTTAGCTTAAGCTATCTGGCAAAGAAGGTGGGCAAACATTTCAGTGAAGTAAGGTAACACTACACGGATACATGCTTATAGCATTAATAGCCTGGGCTCCTTTTAGAGGTCAAGTAACCCAAAGTCAGTGGTAAATAAAATTCTGACAGCCAGGTTGTGAATCGCACCCACTTGCACCCATACATGCCAATCAAACTAGAATATATCCTTAAAAACAAAAACAAAATTAACATACTTGTAATTTATAGATTTATTTTTATAAAGAGCAGCATGGCATTGTTTAATGAGACTTAAATTAACTAATGACACCATAATAACTTAAAAAAAAGAATAACTGGTATTGCCATTTATTGGAAATTTCCAACTTACTGACTGTAGGGACGTTGCATATAACAGCACTTCTGAATTGAATATGCTTTTAAAAGTCTGAAAGTTATGAATTTTAATTTATTTCATACAAATCAAGTTTATTTTCCCCATCCACCCATGTTCATTGCTAGTCCGGCACAGGAACAACACTGAGAGCAACAAGACACATAACCATAAACATAATGTTAAAGTACGTAGTTATCCCGAACATTCCACACATAGTTCTGTTCACCAGAAAAAAAACAAAAAAAAAACAAAACAGATTGAAAGTACTTGGAGCAATTATAAAAAAGACTCTAGCCCTAAATTAAATCCTTGATTTTTTTTTCTTTTTTTTTTTCTTTTTAGCTGTGAGGCAACAATGTAAATAACAGTAGATTTTAAACATTGGAATCACTACTGTAAATAAGAAAATTCTATATAAGTAATTACAAATTAACAAGCCCATTTAGTCATCAGGTGTTCTGTTTTCTGTATTCTAAACAGGGAAGTTGGAGACAAACTCCAAAGTGACAGTTCCAGTTATCAGCTTATGGACGATTGTATTCTCCATTGTCCATTTATGACTACTACAGCCTTGTGGCATGATTAAGAAATTTGGGGCAGAAATTGACAAAAAGACAGTATAGGGATATGATGTGTATTGCCATACAATATTTTATGTATTGCAAGACAATATTATTTATGCTGATACCATAACAAAGATGATATTTCCCGATTTTCAGAAAATAGCTCTTTAAAAGTTCACAAGAGAACAGCACCAGGATAATAGACTCATGGACAATGTGCTGCCAACCATTGGCTGGGATTTAACTGTTAAATAAAAGTCATCAATGAAATTGAAATTTGCATATAAATATATATTTCTTTTAATTTGAGATCAATTTGTCCATATTTTCAATCAGGAACAATATTGTGTAATACAGTCTCAGTATTTGAGAGAATTTATTATATCTTACATTCCTTAAAGACGGCACACATTCAACAGATACATTGTATATATACAGATATTTTAAGAGAATACATATGCAAACATTATTGGTTAAGCCTTTTGTCTTTCTCTTCTTGTCCCTTTTTCATGTTTTCTGTTAGTTTTGACTTCTTTCCCTTTTACTAATTGCCTTCCTCATTCCTTTTTACTTATTTTCCTCCTAGTTTCCCCTCTCCCTTTAGCCATTGTCTTTTTTCTTCTTTATTTCTTTTACTCATACTCCTCTCTTTTTTGTTTTACCCTTCCTGTCCCTTATGTCGTCTTCCTCTCCATGTTTGCAATGAGGAGATCTATCTCTGTAATCCTAATTTCTTGTTGAATAAATTTTCAAGCTATTTCTGCTCATTAAAAACCAAGAACCCCAAAATAATTTTATGCAAATATTTTTGATGAACTGTGCATCTCTCTTGTGAGATGAATTTCTATGCCAAAACTCCTTACAACATGGTCTTGTTGGCAAGCTGGAAAACACATCATGACAGGTTCTAAAACAAGCTGCATGTCATAGGAAAGACCAGTGATGCTACAAATGCACGATTAATGCTTAAACTACCTAACATTAAATTCATTCATATAGAATTAGCCCAACCTTAAACATCTACAGCGGTAAATGTTAACACACAATGTTATAGCAATTTTATTACAAAGCTATACTTCTGACGGGGATAATTTCATTCAAAGTAAAAGTTATGAAAAAAGTTATGAGGTTCTATTATTTTTGATGCATAACTTAACACATTAAGGACTAAAACTACCTTCCAAAATTACTTGTAAAACCTAGGAGGGATTTTTAGAAAGAACCTCCAAAGCCTGAACTTTCCCTAGAAAATCAACATAAAAAAAGCCTAAATGATTTATATCTCATGAGCTACAGCAAATAAAAAAAAAACAAAAAAAAACAATTGAAGCTTTCCTCAATATGAGCCAAACTTTTCAGTCTTCAATGTGATAAATAAATACTTATCAGCATAAAGGGGGACATATTTCCCTTTTGATAGATTTTATTCTCCCTAGTTGTTTATCCCCACAGGACTCACCCTGCCTGCCCTTAAGGTATAGTACATTTATCAATATGCGTACTTGTGTGTTCTCATGTTCTTGTGACACTTCATCAGCCTCAGCCCCAGGACTCTTCCAATTGCCAAGACTGAAAACACAAGACAGAGAACGGACAAAATCCCTGGATGTTATTTTCGCTCAGCCCTCTTTACTGAGCATGCATCAGGAGACTTATGCATTCTCCAGACTTATCAGCTGTCCCAGCATGTATTGCGCCAGATGCAGCTTCCAGGGGAGCACCTACGTAGCTCACAGTATTGTTAAAAGTTCACTGTTCTGTTGCAGTTTTTCTACCAAATTTTGTTTTAAGATAATTTCAGGTGAGAATATTATACTTTTAGGCATCACTACATGGCCTATTTACTAAGTTAGTGTCTAATTGAAGAAAGAGTACCGATGTTGAGAGAAGTGTGGCAACCAGCAGACCTCTGAGGCAAACCACAGCCCTCTCTTTGCCTAGTAATGTATGAAGTACCACCGGCTCTGATTGTGTTTTTTTTTCCCCCACTTGTTTTGTTTTTTTTTTTTTTGGCAAAAAGTTCATGTGATTTTGTTTATCTGATTAATTTCTTTCTTTTTTTTTTTTTTTTAACCAAATACTTGCTGGAATAACTTTAACATTTTTGTATTCCATACAGCCTATTCAGTAAAACTATAAACAGTTGTGTGTTTAATAATTATTCACATACTAAATTAAAAATAAGTAATTTAATATTATTTAGAGATTATAAATAAATGCTGATCCAGATGTACTGTGCATGTGGTAATGTCATAGGTATGTTTCTGTTCCAATTGACGCAGATTTGATCTGCGTGCTGCTTTCTAACTTTTAGAGCAGCTTTCTGCTTTCCCTCTCTTTTTTTCCCCTCTTTTCAGCACCACTAGGGTATCTTCTTTTTATCACCTTTTTTCTTTTCATATGCTTTTCTGCCATCTTCTTGGGCTCTTTCTGCACATGCTCAGTATGGACAGAACCTATGTAGTGGAGACTGAAGGGAGTCTCCTGAGACAATAAGCATTTTATTGGCATGTTGTGAGATGATTTTAAATGAAAAACATATTTAATGTGCGCAAATAAGTGATGATACGGACATGCAGAAATTCCAATTAATGTTTCCACGCTGCACGTATTCCCCGTGGCTGCTCTAACTTATAACTAAATGGCTTTCCTTTCACTGTTGTAAAACCTTTGAAAAACATAGTTTCTTTTGCGATTATTTTTCTTCAAAGCTTTAAATTGTAGGTTACTCCAACACTTTTTAAAAAATAACTTCAATTTATATATTTTTTTGCTCTTTGAGTAAGTTCCAGCTACCAAAACCTTTTAGGATGCCAAGCAAGCAATGCTCGACTACTTTTAAAGTTGCTGCTTAGAACATCTCACCTGATTTCTTTTTCTTCTACAGATTGGCAAAGGAGAGAACTGCAAATCGGATTCCATACATTTGTGATTGGATGTGAAAACACTTTGACCCTTCAAAATTGAAGATGATGTTGCTATGGAAACTACTGCTGCTGCAGTCACTTATGGGGTGCCTGGCAGGTAAAGTATCTTATTAAGAACTTTTGATGCATGCCAAAGCTGTCTTTGTGAAGTCTGACTCCTTATTCATATGTATTTGGGGCAGGTGGCAGTATGAAAGCTGAAGTTTAGAGAAAAGCAGCTTCAGGTGGATTAGACAGACACAGGCATATTTTCTCACTGATAATATTAAGAAAAGAATGTAGAATCAGCTCAGCGGGGCCTTTATTGTTAAAGTAAACCTCTAATGACACAAGGATATTACATTTCAGCTTCCCATGCATTTATGTGTTTGCCTTTTGTTGTTCACCACACTGATCCAATAATCCTAAATGTAAATGAGAATGCAGAAAAAATGTTGCTTGAGTTCAAGTATCTCACGCATTAAAATAAGTTTTTATTTTATGATGGGGTAAAAAAAACAACAACAGTTTATTAATCCAAGGTTCTATAAAACCTGGAAGATTTGGTATAAGATAATTCATTCAAGCATTCACTATGGGCTGTAAAGGAAAGTAAAAACAAATGTTTAACTTCAAGCAATACAGGCCTTTTTATAGATGTGTTTACATTAAGGCCTGCAGCTGAATATTGCAGACACACATAGAGGCGCTCAACAGTATGACGTATATAAGAAATAAAAACAAAACATAATTACCAATATGAGTAACCACATTACTATTGAGGACTCAATAAAACTCTTACATACAATTAGCCATTCACCAAAAACATATGGAGCTAATATACTATATTATAGTGTACCGTTTTCTACATATACTATATTACACTGCCAGTTTAAAACAACCCTATAAAGTAAATTTTCCTATATCCAATATGGATGGATTTCAGCTTGGGTTAATTTAACATCTCAGGTTAGATTATTGGTTAGGGATCCAAACCAAAAAAAATAAAGAGCTTAACCCTGGATTAAAAACAAATAATCCATCCATCTGTTCATCCATTTTCCCATCTGTCTACTTTTCCTGATTTTTTTTCTCTTCAGGGTTACCACTGTCAGGGACAGCACTTCTCTGGCAAATAACAATGAAAATGGGATGTTTTTATTAAAGAGCTAATGTGCTAAGACAGCATTACATTCCTAAGCACAAAAAAATGTGCATGAAGGAAGGTTCTTGTTCTTTTGATGTGAATTATCCCTGTATTTTCATTATTGTCTAGTTTGCTGTTGGGGCTGTAGCGTTTTCACCTGCCTGCCCTGTGGAGCCCATGACAGTCTTAGGGGTTCACATCCTCACATGTGCAAATAGGGAGGTAAATGTGTTTTTAAAGTCTTAGGGAAATGGCTCTTCCAACGTTTGTAGCTCCGAATTCTCCTGAGTGGTGCCCGAGTTTACATGAGTGAATAAAGTGAATGTGATTGGTTGATTATCAAGGGGGCCGGATTGTTGTGGTGGAAGGTTCGCAAGCCTTTTGGTTGTAGCCGGTGTCCCGAAAGCATCTTGCTAACCAGTTAGCAACTTAGTGCTGGTAGGGTCCCAATGGGAAATTACATTGGGACCAAGTAGCACTTAGCAACGACACTGTCAAGGAACGCTATGGACAGCGGCAACATGCAAGAGGAGGAGAGTTTTGTGTCGGAGGTCGTGGATGAGTCTCCTCCGTCATACATTTTTTTTTCAGAGGAGGAAAGAGCGGGTACAAAGTTGTTGTGGAAGAGGGCGCCAGGGCGGCAGAAGGATCATTTGGTGTAGAAGGCTTACAGACGTACATGTTTGAGCCCTTGCCTCACAACGCTGCTAGTTCTGTTAGCTCTACACCTGCCGAAGACACAGACATCCATCCCCATCCCCATCAGTCAGCAATTATCCACACCTAGGTTTTCACTAAATGACTACAGTTGATTTAGCAATTATCAATTTTATTAGGCTACATCATTATATATTATGCAGCTCTGCAATCATAAATAAAATTTGTATTTACAGATGACAGGACCATCGGTCACTACACCTGCAGCTGGCATGTTGGTATCAAAGGGATGCTGTTTCAATTTGTTGTTATTTCGCCCAAAGAAAGAACAGTTAGAGATCAACCTGCTATTAAAATAAGATCTTCAACAGAAAATGGAAAGAAAGTCCAGCAAAGCTCCTCTAACAATAAGAATTTCATTCATTTCACTACATTATGGCTCCTTGGCTTTATTATATAAATGTATGGAATATGTGGGTTTAGGTCTGTCTGAATTTGTGAAGAGTTTTGCCATTAACATGTTTATGTATTGTATGATAGAGATGGAGAGTGAGATAAAGGGTTGACAGATGTGGTCTGGCGATTTGCAGTACATGTGTGCATGTGTATTCAAAGGAGATGTAGAAGAAAACGTGTTGAATTGGCTGATGGCGAACTCATAATAAGCATTTACATCTTATGTTGCACCTCTCGCCTTAATCAGTAATTTTAATTGTCTGTTTTCAGATCAAATAATTTTTCTTTTAATATATTTGTTTTTTACTTCGGTAACAATGCAACCAAGTCAATTTCAGCTCTTTCACTTTTTACTGGTCCTTTAATTTCACCGCTCAGCTCTGAGTCAGCAGAACTTTGATCTGTGATCCAAGTTTTTCGTATGTTTTTTATGTATTTTTTTTTCTTATTTGTCTTCAATGCCTATCCTTATATGGAATCATCGGAGGGTTGTTGCACCAAACAAAGCAGCGTAGTCACCACAGCTGTTAACAGAAAAGTGTAAAAAACAAAACAAAAAAAAACATATGTTTGCAGTACTTCACTGTTTAAGAACATTTTTGAGTATTTAAGTCACTTTGAAAATACTTAAAGAGAATACCCCAAAGGACCACTATCAGTATTACATCAGTGACCTAGAAGATTACAGTTTGACCATATCAACCAGAGCTTAATACCACAAGTTAATGGAATTTGTATTACATTACACTTTTCTGGCCACACTGATCACTCAAAGCACTTAACACTTTAGCCACTTTGATCCATTCACACTCAATAACATGGACACCTTCATACACTTATATGGAGGTTGGTAGTCCACTTGAGCGTAAGAGACCTGCCCAGGGGTACACCATCAAGTGATGTGCCAGTGTTTGATCAAATTGTAAAAGGACTTCTATTCACACCATTCAAACTAAAAAAGAAAACTGCATCAAATGTCTTGAAAAAACAAGAGACTTTCTAGTCTTTCTGTTAAAAAACACAGATTGAGGTTTTCAGTGTTTGCCAAAATGTTAGTCTTCTTTTTGCCTTCCTTGTGGTATAATGCAGTCAGATTCACTCACTCACTAAAATTATGGCATATTAAATCATAATATGAGTTAAATCAATGAAATTGTGTAGAATAAAATAATAAAAATCAATCTGAGAAAGTTTTTTTCTATCAATGTGGTGTGAAAACCATAAAAACTACACTAGATGGGTAGTAGGAAAGGTAATTATTTTTTATAGAGCCACAGTTTAAGAAGATTAAATTTGGGGTTAATTTCTCATGTTGACATTTGAAAATCTCTCCAGGCTACGTTCAAATCACCATCATTCACTTACAAAGCAGTAAAGCTAAATTATTGCTTCATTATACTGTGGTGCCCATTTTAGCCAGAGGGATCTGTGGCATTGACACATTTTGATGAAAGACTTTAATTTATCTCCTTTACAAATTCGAATGGTCACCTTAGAGGATCTGTGGAATCACTCAGTGTTTAATCAACAGGTATTAGGCAAATCATTAAGACAAAAGATGTCATATTGATGAGGAAATCCGTCTCTCGTTAATCAACCCACAGCAAGTTGTCCACCCTCCGTGGTCTTACAAATAATATTATGATATTTCTATGAGTAAAGCCTGATTGTTGTATTTGCCCTTGCAGGGTTCTCTGGGCGTGTCAATACTTGTCTCGTGGCAGCTCTAACAATCGCACTTCTCACAGCTGATGGCTGGTGATAATTGACCAGTGTGCTGCCTATTCCTCATGGAGGTGTTGAGTTCACAGCAATCATTTCTGCTATGGAGAAAAGTGTCAAGAGGTGCAAACATAACATGATTTGGTATGTGTTTTCAAGAATCGCATAATATTGTTGGTAACCCCAGTGGTGTTTCTTTTCTCTGAGCAACAGATTTGTCCTTAAAGTCGTAGTCATACCATCCTGAAGTGATGAGAGTTTTGAGTCCAAAAAATACTTTTCAAAGTACATTTTTAATTCAGCTTTAAGACTTTAATGCGAGGAATTTTTGCTATTATTTTATCCCATATCATTTTATTATAGCATTTTTGTTATGCCGATTGAAAAAATACTAAGCGCTACGCTAATCTTTATCGACCAGTTTATAAATATGTATTGATATTGCAATTCCTATGTATTGCACAGTCCTCAGTAATGCAATGGAAAGTGGTCTCATTAAGTACCTGCCACACATGTAACAACTTTTAAGGAGAAATGTGAGCAGTCACCTTTTAATGTAAAGTCTATATATTAGATCCAAAGTTAAACTTTCATATTAGTTTCTTGATGTAACATTAATTGCATCCATAATTGATTTAAAATGTTCTAATAACCAGTGAGGTAGTGCAGGACACACAGTGGTCTCTTTCTTTTTTTTCAGTAAAACCAAGATTTATAATTTCTGCTGTATCAATGTAATTATAATTTTAAATAGTTTATTTTCTTTTGGGTGTTGTCCAAGATAGTTTTGGGATTTCCCCCACTTACTGGTAATAGCTGTGGGTTAGGTTGGTATGATCTTTTTCTTTTTAAACAAACAAACAAAAAAAAAGTCAGCTCTTTGGTTGTTTTTTCTGTTGGTGTCAGAGGGCTAGACGTTGCCAAATGTATGCCAACAATTTGAAAACTGAAAAGGCCCACATAGGATGGCTCTTCACAGACACATCTGTGTTCTCCTAGGTAGTTATTTTGCATAGGTTGACTTGATGTTGTTTAAACTAAAACAATTATATTATTAATGCCCATGATTCTCCCAATAAATCAATTTTGCCTCATTCACTGTGGGCCAGTATGAGATTCTCATGGCATGATAAAAA